AACACTTAACCTACTGAGCCACCCAGGTGCCCAGGGAGGGGGGTTAATTATCATTTCCAACGTCTCTAATTGGTTCTTTTTCCTAATAGTCGGTCATTATTTTATAGATTGATATCTTCTCTCATCTTGCAAACAAATGTTCTGTTCGCTTTTTATAAACTGCTCCCTCTGGTATTACCTAAAAAGAATGAAGTAGTTAAAAATGTACTAAGAAAAGATATCCAGAGGTGCCTGAGTGGATCAGTTGGTTATGCGTCCAACTCTTAACTTCAGCTCAGGTCATGATCTCACAGTTGGTGAGTTCAGGCTCCACATTGACAGCACGGAATCTGCTTGGGATCCTCTCCCTTTCTTTCTGCCCCTCTCCCACTCGTGCTCTCTTTCTCCCTCTCTCAAAATAATAAAGAATCTTAAAAAAAAAAAAAAAAAAAAAAGACATCCAAGTTTTTAAAAAAGCTGCAGAAAAATACATTTACATTACAAGAGGGTGGAGAGCATAGGGCCAAAACTCAACATATGTATATATAAATACATAGGACAATAAGTATTTAGAAGGATAATCAAAAAGTAGAGAACAGTTGGGAGTGGGAGTGAAAAGACCTTCACTTTTTACTCTATACATTTCTAGATGTTTGTATTTTTATTTTTTAAAAAAAAAATTGATCTTTATGCCATTTGTGTACACTTTTAAGCTAGGGAAGTAAATGGGAAGAAATTCTTCTAAGATGACAAAATGCCAGTGGTAGACAAAGGCTGAAGAATTTTAAGCTGTTTTTTTAGTTTTCAAATTTTCTTTAATGTAAGTATACTACTTTTAATAAGTAAAAAATATATTTAACAATTTTAGAATTTATGAGTATGATTTGAAAAGAGGGGGAAAAAACTACCTAAGTGCTTTGAAATCAAAGCTACCCGTTTTCTCCAAAACAAGAGAAGGGAAGATTTCTGTTTTTGGCAATGGCAGACTAGTTTATTGAGATCAATTCTGCAGCCACGAGAAAAAGCTAGATAAGATGTTAAAATCACCTGTTTGAAGACCCTGGAGAATCACAAAGGCAGTAAGAGCTTGACGGGCCAAGAACTCAGAAGGAAAGGAACCCAGAGAGGTGAGCTAGACATCTGGTATAGAATTTCCTCTACAGGCACTGTTTTCAAAATGGTACCTGGGAAGCTAAACACAGCTTTCAAGAATATCACAGGAATGGGAAAATAAAAACTGGAGTTCCAGGCCCCTGAGGAGGAAAGCTCCTGGTTATTTCTCCAGGCTTTCAGTTAGGATCCCCAAAGGTCTATACTCTAAGAATTCAGTTGCATCAAAAAGAGACCGGCCCCCCAAAACTAAAGACTAGTTTCTAAATAATTCAATCCTGACTGAGTTAAGATGCCCTATTCCTAACGCTGTGTAGCAACAAAAGTAAATGTTCTCTGAAGAAAACATTTTATTCTCAAATTATTTCTACAATTTCTCAGACCTAATGTCTAATGATCACAAATATGCAGGTATGCCAAAAAAGAAACAACAGACTAGAAGTCAAAAGGACATGAGAAGAAAAACTAAAAAAGACCTAGAAGAGAGCTACATCAATTAGTCATCTGACAAGGTTTTAAAATAACTGGAATTAATAAATTCAAAAAACTAAATGATAAGATGAAGAATTCCAACAGAGAAACTGAAAACTGTTTTAAAACTCAAATGAAAATTCCAAGAGTGAAAGTAAAATAACTGAAATTATATACTCAATGGATGGATTTAACATCGCTTATAGCTACAGAGGCATTAGTACACTGGAAGATAGGTCAGAAGAGAATATCCAGTTTGAAAACTGAAAAAAAAAAAAGTGGAAAATATAGAAAAGAACATAAGAAACAGTAGGAGAAGTGGGGGGAAAAGCCTACTGGGTGTATCTCAGAAGGAAAAGGGAAAAAGAATGGATCTGAACCATATTTGAAGATATAATGCCTGAGAATTGTCTAAAACTAACAATAACAACAACAAATCCAACAGTAGATTCAAGAATCACTATAAATAGAAGGCAGGATAACTACACAAAGAAAACTCCAAGTAGAAATATCATAGTAAAAGTGTTGAAAATCAAAAACAAAAGAAATTAGCTTCAGAGAAGCAACTTCTTTTTTTTAAACAATTTTTTTAATGCTTATTTATTTTTGAAAGAGAGAGAGACAGAGCATGAGCTGGGGAGGGGCAGAGAGAGAGGGAGACACAGAATCTAAAGCAGGCTCTAGGCTCTGAGCTGTCAGCACAGAGCCCACTGCAGGGCTGGAACTCACGGACCACGAACGAGATCATGACCTGAGCCAAAGTCAAACCAAATGAACCACCCAGGCACCCCAAGAAGCAACTTCTTAATAGAAATGCATTATGGAGTATCTTCAAAGTGCCAATCCAAAATTCTACACTGAGAACAAACATTCTTCAAAATGACAACAAGAAAAGACATTCTTACATAAATACTGAATGTGTTGCACAGACCCACATTAAAGAAAATACTAAAGGGAACTCTTCAGTTAGAAGAAAAACTATCCAAATGGAACCATAAAAATATATGAAAGAAAGAAGAACACAAGAAAGGATAAATATGTATATTTAGATAATTATATCTAATAAACATTCACTGTACAAAATGATGATGAGGATGATGCCTTATGGGGTTTAAAATGCATGTTGAATTAAGATACACAATACCAAAAAGGCAGGAAGAGGTAAACGGAATCAAAGATTCTTGCATTGTTTAAAAAGTGGCAAAAGTACTAATATATACCAGACTTTAACAAGTCCAAGACAGATACTGAAATCTTTTTTCTTTTTTAATGTTTATTTATTATTGAGAGACAGAGAGAGACAGAGCATGAGCATGGAGGGGCAGAGAGAGGAGGAGACACAGAATCTGAAGCAGGCTCCAGGCTCTGAGCTGTCAGCACAGAGCCCAACGCGGGGCTCGAACCCACAAACCACGAGATCATGACCTGAGTCGAAGTCAGACGTTTAACCTACTGAGCCACCCAGGTGCCCCCAGATACTGAAATCTTGAATAACTACTAAAATAACAGTAAAAGAATGTATAACTACCAAGCAATGGGTTGGGGTGATATAAAAACAATTAAGCATAAAGAAGACAAGAAAGAAAAATAAAAAGAACATACCATAAGTGGGAGGTTGGGAGGGGAGACTGCTAAGTTTTAAATCTAATTACATCAGTAAAATAAATGTGTATGGACCAAATACTCCAATAAGGCAAAAACTGTTCACTGGATAAATAAAAGCCAACAACACAATGCTTATAAAAGACATACCTTAAATAAAAGATAATGTTTGAAAGCAAAAGGATAGAAACAAAGATAATCCATATGAACACTATCCAAAAGAATGTTTGTGCAATCAATCATACTAACATTAGATATTTCCAATGCTAAAAGTGAAGACACTGGGAAAATACAATAATCCTTTACACATATTTGTATAAACTAAATATCACTCCAAATACATAAAGCAAAACTTGACAGAACTAGAAAGAGAAATAGGTAAATCCACAATCATAGTAGGGAAACAAGATTTAGGATTTTATTTTAAATGTTATTTATTTTCCTGAAAGAAACGTGCCCATCTTGGCTATGTTTCTCTTAGTGCTGCTGAAGCTCACTTGCAACTATAGACATTTAATAATACTTGATATTATAAAATAATTGTCATTTTTAAAGGCCCCTGCTTCTGGGGGGAAAAAAAAGGAACCTGCAAACTTTAGTATATTTTGCAAAATATTAACTCTTTTCTTTAAACTCTTTTATACAAGTACTATATTGTAATTAAAAAACACATTAAGCACATATATGTTCATATTTAATGTTGTTCTTAAAAATATAGTTGAACAAAAAATGATACTAAAAGAAAGTAATCATCTATGCTATGTTATGCTATTAGCCCTTCTTTAGAATGTGATTCTTATTTTTCTAAGTATGTGATTCATTGACCAATGAGTTATACTAACAGAATAAGTTGGGTTTTTTTTTAATTACTTCTATGTTTCAAAGCAATGAACACTTTTCAGTGGCCTCAAAGTCTTGAAGTTTGAAATATGTGAGTACATATTAAAACTATGTTTTTCAAAGAGGGACTTTGTCTTAAAAGTCCAAATGACTATATTATATGATTTACATAAAATCCTTGCCTGTGAATCATTGCCTACTAATGACTTGTAGACTTTGACTGCTCAACTATGATATCCCACGTTCCTTAATTATTAACTTCATTAAATTTAATTATCTCCACACTGTCCCTTTGGACTATACCATATACTTGGGTATGCACAACCAGTACTCTCCTTTTCAGCGTCTCTCCTGAACCCCCAAGAAAAGAGAACTCCTAATGGTTTTGTTTGGCCTTTTAATGGGAGTTGTGCATAGAATCAAGAAGATTAATGGGAGTTGTCCACAGAAGAGTCTTCTCAGTTCAACTTTACAGAAAATATGAAAGTATCACCCATGAGGAGGAGCAGAATTTATATGTAAAGGTATTTTAACTACGTGACAATTTTGTAGATTAGCAAAAATTTTCCTATGTGGTCGGAATCTCCCAATACTTTGCAAAAAAAAAAAGAAAAAGATAGTAAATTCTCAATCTAACATGTAAGAGTTCTTTGGGGGATGGGCTAAATGAGTGATGGGCATTAAGGAAGGTATTTGTTGGGATGAGCACTGGGTGTTATATGTAAGTGAGAAATCACTAAATTCTACTCCTGAAACCACTATTATGCTATATGTTAATTTGATTTAAATAAAATTAAAAAAAAAAAGAGTTCTTTAGTTTACCTAAGAAACAAAAACAAGATGAACTTAAACTTTTCCCATAGAAAAGGGAGACTCATGGCTATCAAGTATCTTTAGAAACAGCCAGAATGAAATAACCTTATAAATCCAGCTAAACAAACACATAAATCTCAATAAACCTGCAGAAGAAAAAAGACTATAATATTTTTAAACATTACCAGTTTTAACCGTTCTTTTCTCCTTTTGCCAAAGGAGGCACTTGACCCAGGTTCTGATTCCTTTTTTCCATCTTCATCCTCATCTTCATCTTCATCATCCTCAAAACACCAATCAGGCAATAGAGGTGGGGGTGGTGCTTCCTCTATATCACCATAGCGACGAAAAAGTTCTTTCAAGTAATCGCCCTTATAAATTCCTGGTGGTCTGGCTTGAGCAAAAGTAGCAACTGCTGCTTCAATGCTATGAAAACAAACACCACGGAGTTTCCTCACTACTCTTCGTTTCTGCAGATTTATCAAAACTCACTCTTTCTATTTCATACACCAAATGAAGTATAATACATTTATTAAATTGACAAATCACAGTCCCCACTCCCAAGGCATTCAATCTATTAAGGGACAAATTCCTTCTGAAATAGATTTAATATAAGATACATTGATAATTCCTAAAACCTCGAGGTAAGCTGCAATGAGTATATAGAAGAGATCTGGGTAAAGTCTGTGAAAAATTTTAAATAAAGCGTTGAAGGTTGAGGTCTGACTCTAAGGGAAATCAAAGAAATGTGAATAGCCATATGAATAAAAGTAAAAGTCTGCTAGCTTTTAAGAACTTTCAACAGACCCAGGTAACAAGAGCAAAGGTCATCACACAGAGGCTAAGCATAGCTCAGGGCTGACACAGGAGCCTGGGGTTATTGTGAAAAGCACCTGAAAGCCCAGAAAGTCAAAGCCAGAAGATATGCAGCTGAGAACATATAAACAGGGAAATATACCATCACATGTGTACTTCAGCTGATTATATTCAGAGAAGGACCTACTATGTGAAAGGCTTTATAAGCAAAAATGATGACACTCAATCAGTAAACAAGAAAGTTCAGGGAGTAATATTCCATATCCCTGAGGAATTTCAGGCAACAAAGGTTCTAATCTCTCAGGATCACTTCAATAAAGGCATGCTTCAAAGAAAGTAACTCTGTCTCAAAAATACTTTCTCCACATACCATTCTAAGTTTTTCCTAATATTCTACAGCTATTTTAAAAAGGTATTACTAAAAAAAAAACGAATAAGAGATGCCTAGCTGGCTCCATCCAAACAGCACTTGACTCTTGACAGAGTCGTGAATTTCGAGCGGCACTTTGGGCACAGAGCTTACTTTAAAAAAAAAAAAAAAAAAAAAAAAAAAAGAACGGAACAATAACAACAGTAGTAACTTCCAAAGGCGAATGTAAACAAAATATTGAAGAAAAAAAAAAGTATCTCTGATAATTCTGGAGTATGTGAAAAAATCTGGAAAAGAAAATACATAGTATATAAAAATCCATAAGCACTCAACTAAAATGCTACTTAGTACAAAACACCAGGTAATAAATGGTATTCTAAAGATTAACCAAGTCTAAAATGAAAACCACTTCAAATTTTTAGTCATGACTTCACCAAAAATTTAGCAATATAAAATGTTAAAACTAAAAAATTAATACACTTTTTATCAGTTACCAGTCTTCTGCCATTATAATAAGAAACAAATACCTCCAATCCATTTTCTCCACCAAAAAGGCACATATGAGGAAACCAGTGCGATTGAAACCATGGGTACAATGAACACCTAGAAAATAAAGTAGCCTTGATTTAAAATGATCACTTCAGAAACCACATCTTAAAATTCCAACCTGCAATCAAAACATTTTAATGATTTTATAAAATTACATTTTTAAAAACCTGGCTCTCTCTTATTAGTAGTAACTTGTCAATTTAACTTGCTTAGAATCTAATTTAAAGCACTAGCTAGAAGTTTAGTATATATTGGTTACAAATTATCTCTAAGATCTAAAGATTTCTCTTAAAACTAAATGATTCCAA